TCAGTACAAGGAAATCTTCTACAGGCTTGCTCGCGGTGTTTGTCTCTACCTCCGGAAAGAAACCCGGCCAGATCTTCAAGCTAATCTGTTGCCATTACGGTTGTTGCTGTGCCCGTCAGAAATGAAAGCAGATTCATGCGGAGATTTGGCCGAACTCCCATCAGGCGGAAACAAATTTAATTGGCCTCTTAACAACAAACGACTTGAGATGACTACTTCCAAAAAGCATCCGCCTACAGTATCCCTGATTTCCAGGAGACCTGCCTGGCTTGAAAAACAATGTAAGGTAGTAGAAAATTTTTCTCGTGCCAAACAAATTTTCCTCGTTTTGTATAATGAAGTGTTGATTGTTCCGACATTTCGACTAGTTCGTCTTCTTCAAGGCCTGAAGGAAGCATCTTTAGCAAAAATATTCTATTATCTGGACATGCCAAGGTTTCAAGAAAGGCCAACTTGGCCAAGAGTAAGGTAGTTGGTCCATTAATTCCTGAGGATAAGCGAAATGACCACCGGTGGACTGGCCCTCTGAACAATTATCGCAGTCTTATCCACATTGCTTCACAAAATAATCCCACTACGGTCCTCTGCTATAGCTTATCCAGAAAAATGAACCCTCGTTCACCTATCTCTTGAGCAAACATATCAGCCCATTTCGTCAGACTTGTTGCAAGTTTTATTCGAAGGATGGCCAAAGTCATGAGCGCTTTTCTTATGCTGAGCTCTATGATCATCACAAGTAAGAGTTAGTAAGAGTTGCTTTCAAAAATGAACAGTAGCTTCTACAGTGCTCAGAGTACATTATCTGGTCTTTGAAATGATCAGCTTCAGTAGTGATCCTTAGCCGAGGGTCCATGATATCACATTCAATCAACCTACGCTATTACCGTCCGTCAAGCAATCACGACGAGTCTAATGTTCGCGAGTGATATTTGCTTCGTCATCCACTTGCAGCATCAAGAAAAAAACATGAATTTTCTGGGAAGAAATCTGCTGTTCACGAAGTCGTCGTACTCAATTGTCCTCATCACTTTTTCTGGCACTCAATCCATGAACGTCGTTTGGGATGGCAATCTTGGTGGACGATCTCAACTTTTAGGAATTGACTGCTATTAGCAAGAATGACCAGATTAATACTCCTCATTTCACGGGATGGATGATAGCGAACGTTTTTTCAAGGCATAACTGGAACTTGCTAACATTCTCATATTTCTCCATGCAATATGTGCAATACGAATGGAGTGAAGCCTGGTCACGCATAAAAACCTTCAAGAAAACAATATTAAATGGTTTTCTGGGAAAAACAGCCGCATATGGCTAGCATCGTTTTGGTTCCATTTCACTGCTCACGCAATTTTCACAGCTGAATTATTATACAATGCTGTGCACTGCTTCGGGTATGCGTCAAAAGTACGTCGCGGGTTCGCGCACCAAAGTTCGCGGCAAAGCTTGGAACATACCAATAAAGATCATGAACAGACGCTAGAGCAGAAAAAGTGAGCGATTTGAATAACTCACCAAATGCCACAAGTTTGTGTCCCGCGGAACCGGAACCACGGCATGTACATTTGGCATGTTATTTTGAATTGTACTTTTGCAATTTTTGAGGCTATTTTTGTTTTTATGCGACTTCTTTTTGAAGCCTGACCATTTTCTTCTAGACTGGAGTCTTTTCTTTGCTTTTGCAAGTGCTGACTAGCAAAAAAAACCTTTTCCACTGCTTAAAATAGGGTACTCTGTAAATTTCATAGTCCGTATTTGAAGCCACCGTTTTATTGAAGGAAATGAGCTTCGGATCATTGTAAGCGACAATCTTTCCAGAATCGAATAAGCGAATATTTCGCAAAAGACGCTCTTGGTACAACAAGAATACTGGGTTCTGAACATTCGCCCCAGGCGTGGCTCGAACTGCACCTCTCGCTTACCCGGCAAGCGTGCCAAGGGTTAGCACCGTTTCGCCCTAACTCAGCCTTGTCAGCTCTCAACAATGTGGTACTTATGTATGTTTTGCACCTACAATGCGTTTTTTTAGATGCACCTGTTAGAACAATTTTGTGACTATCGCAAATGAATCGTTTTGTAATTCCTAGAGCCCCGTTTGTTGCTCACAAAATCAATCTAGCCTTCTTTCCTGAGAGCCGGTAATTTAAGCGATTGAAGTCACTGTAGTAACAGTATTGTTTTATTTGCTATTCAGGAAGCCTTACTTCAACATAGATTTTGGAGAACAACTATTACATAAGTGGTCGGTCATCCTAGCACTCTATTTTCAGGCACTACTGGCTACGCCCATCCCTGCTGAAGCAGCCTCTCCCAGAGCGGGGGGGGGGGTGACAATGGATGCATTTTTGAGGAAGGACTCAGTTCTTGGAAACGAAGATCTGTCAAGGGCTTACTCATTATTGGTAATAATATCCGCCTTCGCGAAAATAGCCGTCACGTCACTGAATTGCTTCAGAGTGTAATTATTCTGAGCTCTTTGACCTTTGTTCACTTGTGCGCCAGGAAATTATGACAAAGTTGCTAGTTATTTGTTGCAGAGCGATGAGTTCACTTGCAATTCTGAGAGAGTAAGAACTGTTCCGGATTAAAGCTTCTTTGCACCTGATATTGTATCATGGGTTTGAAAACATTTAGAGGGCTCTCCTGGCTAACTTAACTATGTACAACCGGAGGATAAGGGTTGATGGCACCTAACACAGCCACCAGATTCTTAGTAGGCCGGAGCGTGAACAGGCTGCAACTTCCGAATTTCGGAAATACATATGTAGCGCTTGGGAGCTGAAAGTTGGGCTCACCACAGTAAGATATCGTAAAGTATCCCTCGAACGGTCACCTTATCATAATTCCTACAAGTTTATTCGTTCAGTCCAGGGCAGTGTTCTCAATTCTACATGTAGTGGCTTAGGATGCTGTTGCATAAGCAGTGAGTCCCACGAGAGGTTATTTTGTCCTAGCGCCCTCTTCATCATTCAAACCCTCAACAATTTGCTGCTATCACTCATTTTTTTGCTACACCCTCTATTATGTAGATTTAGAAGGCTGAGCGTCTTCAGACTTCAAAACACAAAAGCTCAGCGCATCTGGCAGCTTGCCAGAAAGTCTAATTTGCGCGCCATATTTTTCACCTGCTCGAAATAGAGTATAAGGGGTATCTTAAAAGGGTGCGCATCTATTCGAATACCAGCCAATGGCTCTATCTGTTCTGAAGTAGTTGCGATCAAATTTCTGTCTCGCCGTGTTGTAGGCAATGGCTGGGCAGATCGCTCACCCCATTTTCTTCCCCAAGCGCAATTCAAATGACATGAACGACACGTGCATTATGTTGGCTTCATGCTAACGTTGAATCTCGTTTGTCATTATTGCCATTAGTGTCTGTATCACGTCAGGCGCTAATCCACCCTCTTACCCGGCAGGGCAAACCACCAGTGAGTAGCTCAAAATTCAATCTAATTTACGGACTTAATGCGAGAGTAAATGCGAAAATGAGACACGTACGGCCGTGCCGCGACGACGATGTGAACAGAAAGAGCTTGAAATAAGCCTAAATGAAGTGACTCATCCCAAAAAGTCCTTCCATTGAGCAAACAAAGCTTTATAAATTATTTCATTGCCATTCAATTCACTTGCTTTCCATGGGGAAACTTTACGAAGATTTAAAAGGGCAGTGGTTTAGAGAGATTAGCCAGTTTTGGAAGCAACAAAGCAGTGGCCTACTCACTTGGCTTCGCATAAGAGATATTTTCGATTTCATGGCGTTGATTGCGTAACTTTTCAAGTTAGCCTTAGAACGCTGGAAGAACTGGTCCCCCTGGACAATGAAGGGGCAAGAATAATTCAGTAGTTCCTAAGCCCTCTAGCTTTGCTTACTCTACCAAATTGTCTAGGCCCCGCTATCACCTCGACAAATTTCAATGTAATTGAGCATGAATAATGCTCCGTAGAGTAAACATGCATGCTGAAACTTGTTCGAGTATAAATGACATGTCCATGACCACCCAGAGCACGTCTGATCTCAAGCTATACTTCTGACAGCTTTCCCAGCTTCATTCCAAACCATTCCCTGATGTAGCTAACCTACTCAACCTTATGGGGTTTGCATAGGGTGGCCGGTCTAAGGTTTATAATCGGCAAGTGCATTTTTTGAGCGACCTTTCTATGTAGTGAGATCCTAATACCTAATCCGATATGTGCTTATGTTCACGGAGCCACAGCCACCATCTGCCTTCGGAGGATGGGCCATTCTCTGGTAGAAAAACGTTTGCCGAAGTGCCTTAAAGGCAAACTCCGGATTAAACTGGTGCTAAGAGCGCTTCGCAGTGATAGCCCTGACTGCGGAGCGACCACAAAGTGAAGAGGGAAGCGAGAGAACTCTTTGGGAACCGCTGATCTTAAGCCTTTAAACCTTCAAAAAGGTCGGATGTGGTACGACGCAAGACAGGGCGATCAGAGAGGTCAAAACACGCGAGAGAGAAACGTCGTTCGAGAGAGCCCGCTGATTCTCACATCAATGCACGCTGATCTAACCACATCTCGTGTGGGTGGAAGCGTTCGAGGTTGGAGTCCGTAAGGATTAGCGCCCTAACCGCGCGATTTTGCCACCCAAGTTGAAGTGATCTAGGTAGGTACGGGCCTTACAATTTCCCTCCGTCTCCTTCCTAACAGTCGGCTAATCCCGGTTTGCCTTTAAACTACATAGTTTTCGAAATATGCCACCTGGAAGGAGCACCGAGAGTTGAAGTCTTCGTTCCTTCATGTTTGCGAGGCTCGTGACTCAGCGTGTTCGGTTTGTAAGAGCATAACGTATCCGAAACTGAGCTGCTGTTGCTAATGAACTCACGCCAAAGATTTCAAGCAATTGTATCTTTTTGTCGATAAAGCTAGCATACGACCACTGCTTACGAAAGAATGCTGAAATAATCAACACACGAAACCCAGGCATCCTCGGTTGCGATGTGCAGTGGCCTTGGAACCCCTTTACGGTAGGGCCGGAATCCATTCTTTCAAATCGCTAATTTCTCTGGAACACTATAATGATTCGCTAAGCAGGAGAACCACCTACTTACCCATGTATTCGTGCCACCTCGTCCGAATCGTATGAATTTTGCTCCACCGCCACGTCCGAATCGAATGAATTTTGGAGCTCGAGCGACTCGCTGCAGCTCGTACATATCATCACTGAAATATTTCACAATGGGTTGGAACGAAAACCCATTTTGTGCAGTTTGAGCAGAGAATTCCTATTTCCTTATAGAGAATGCCTTCGACCGCCAGAAACGACAAGAATGGCTTTTAATCTGGACTTAATGAGCAGCAAAAGTGCAAATAAAGAGAATCCTCGCCCCAGGTGATTATCCTCTCCTAAAGCCAAAGGCGCACTGCTGTGAAGCCCTCTTTTCTCCACTCTAAACCAACGCTTGAAAGGCCTACAAATTCTTGTAAAGGGACTCTGCAATATAGTGCTTTCAACCCCTTATAGGAAAAGGCATCCTTCAATCGCAGTAAACTCAAAATAAGGATCACAGAATCAGTGAAAGAGAACAGTCATGATGAACAGCGAAAACTGTTCTTGGTATACCAGCTTATCGTTAGAACACATCCGAATTTGAGCTATGGTGCCATGGTCCCAAATAGTAACGGCCAGAACAAATGCTCATAGACTAGTCATTTTTCCTCGTATTCATTCATGCCTTCCTACACTCGGCCTCATTCCGAACTTATCGAGTTCAGTTCATTAGTATTTCATGTTAATTTCGCTCTTTCGCGCTGAACATTCCACATGTCTACTCGATGTGACTGCAATTTATCTGCAACGCCATGAAGCACAATGCTGTGACGGTTCTTTTCGAGCATAAGAACTATGCCAAAAAAATTGTAACGAATCCATTGGGTTAGATAGATTTGCCTCAAAGATGTTCTGGCGATCTGTTCGACTTCCAGACTAAGCAGTTCATTTGGAAGGCGAAAGCTTCGCTAACAGCTGTTTTATCCTTCGAGCTCAACACGAGTCTGGCAACGAAAGGCATACGTCCGATTCTCGAGTTAACTACCGAATTTTCTGACAATGAATGGCTTTAGGGTCAGGGGCTTCAGCAAGTCACGTCCTCCCGAATTAAATGTTTCCATCCATGGTGTGGAACTCAACTGGCCTAGCGGAGTTGTGGTAAGAGTGATGTTCTATCGATTTGCACAGTTTCTACGCTCATAAATCATCCAGTTTCTACTTTTCAAGGGCAAAGAATAGTCCAAAAAGATCTAGGAGAAAAGCCATAGAAATTATCCGGTTCTGAAACATCATTTTCACGCAGGATGGTCCTGGCCAATGAAGTTTCCCTGGAATTTCGTTGAGGTTCATTCTCCAGATGTTGAGAGAGTCCATGACATTTAGGGTTCTTGCTATCGAGTTCTTTCATAAAACTACATTGCATGCATTTGGGAAAGTGATCCATCCCTGTTGGGATGTGGAATAGCCCAGTATTGGTAACTATAATAATAAAGTAATTATTAAGAGGATAAAAAGGTAAATCACTCGTCGTTGGTAGCCTTTCAACGTATCCACTTTTACACAAAACCGTGCGGTTCACTAGTATCAAAGATAGAATACTGGTAGATTTTGTATAGAGGGCTATTATACGAATGAGAAGAGCCTCAGTTCATAGAATAATTCCGGAGGTCGATATTGAACTAAGCAAATTCACTCCAACGGATCTCGTAACTATCAACTTTTTTAGTAGCAGTTTTGGATTTGTATGGACTGGGCGAATCTCCAGGCTATGCACGAGGAACGTGGCAGCGTTTGTATCACTCTCGCAGTACAGGAATTACTGTTATATACAGTATCGTGAAACAGTAAGTTTTAGGCAACTACGGTAATTTTATGGTATTTCTGACCAGATGCTCTCACTATTATTAGTTTTTTTTGCATGGCTCTGATAGAACCGGTTATGTTTGGAAGGAACGAGTTAACCATCGTTCTAAGGCATCATAATGCTCAGGGAGATTTACATGTGTTTGCTCATCCGAGTGTTTTACTCTGACACAACGATTTGGGCACTGATGCTTTCAGGATAATTGAAATCCGAAAACGCCTAGGTTTTTTCTTGAGCATGTATCAGACATATACTTTTTGGCTGCACCTTGGCTGCGAAAATGAATCGAGGATCATCGGAATCGATGGTGATGAGCTTCAGAAGTCGATTATTGTCCTGGAGAGTGACACGCAATAGCATTTTTAATAGAATCCAAAACCAAGCATGATTGCATTGCTATTATGATTAGTAGTAACTGCATGTGCAAAATTCGAGTCTTCATGGGAGGGTGACCGATGACATAGAAGTACGCGCTTGCACTGGCGCCACATTTAACCCGTTGAAAAGCTATGAGATGTATGAATTTTACCCTGGATGGTAATCAGACTTCTATTTAATGTGCTAAATTAAGTAGTCACCAAAGATCAGTGTATGAAAGCAATGAATTCCCACGATGAAAAAGCTTGCAAAAATGGCGGAGCCCGTTTTACATTCACTACAAAACAATGGCTTGCTAAATAAAAATTTTATTCCAAGCGACCCATTTCCCATTTTTTTCTCATTTCTGTTTCACACCAAAACGACGAGCCGAAGTGGCGAACAAAATGCACCATAGATATTCTCAATCCTAAATTAGGATGCAGAAATTCGTCAAGACACAGGCAAATGGTGCGCTTTGATCATCAATGGCTTTCTCATCGCGTGATGTGCCTCACTTTCCTCCCTGACCCTATTTCATCCACTCGGCGATTTTTCTTACTTCATTTTCGTCACTATTGTTTCTTTCATCCAAAAAGCATGTTCATGATATCGAATTTGATAAAACGCAAAAGTTCTACGAGAAAGACTAGGATGAGGAACCGAGGACTCTCTCTTCGCTGAACTGGGTGGATCTAAAAGATTCTCAACACGTTGAAGACAGGCTGACGCGCATGCGAGTCAGAACCATATCACTCATTTTTATGGTGCTTGCGCTCCTCTCTCGAATTTTTTGTATGCTCTCTATAGATAATACATAAACATAACTATAAACTACATTTCCGCTAGAGTGGTCAAATAGCAACGATTTTCTGAACTCAAGAAATTTTCGACTAGATTCTTTCCTAGTTTTCCTTTAACGTCGTAAACAGTCAAAAATTGCAGAAGAAGTCAATACAGAACTCTGTGAGTTTCAAGATAATTGCATCATCTCAAAGACTAAAGTATAAATGCTTTTTACTTCATTGGCAGCGAAAGTGGACCTTTTGCTTCTTCGTGATCATTGCGGGTTCCTCTGAACAAACTTATGCTGGTAGTTATATAGGTAACTTCTACGCTTTCATCCTTGCCGAAATCATTGAGCGATATAAATTTTTGGGCATTTTAGACAGAAAATAAGCGGAAGGGAGGGGTGGACGAGGTGCTCAGGAAATCGCTCCTGTCCCACGCGGCGAAGAGGGCCAAATTGCGCGATTTCGTCAACGTGTTGAAACACCGATTCAATGTTTTCAGAGGAAGACGCAACAATGCTCGGCTTCTGAACAGTTTCTTTTCAGAAACGAGTCTTTGAACGTACTTCGCTATGCAGCACTGCACGAATGGCGTCAGTGCAAGTGCCCTGGGAAACAATCCTCATCGCTTCGTCATCCCAAGTCGGTCAATGAGGAATTGTTGATTTTGTGCAGTTAATTCATTCGTAAAAGTCATTGTATTCAAGACATCTGCGGCTATTGAAGTCATTTGTTACTTTTGTGCATTACGCTACACCACCGAAGAGGAAGTTATTCATAAATACACAACTAAGTAGATGTGCTTATCAGGCGGACAATCTGAGAGTTTGACTAATTATTTTTCAAGGCCTAGCAACACCCAGAAACGATCCCAGGTGTTTTTTTGTGCCTTTTACACATGACATTTTGAGTATTTCGATCTGTTCGTCACGACAAAAGTGAATTACCAAAAGAAAATGTCGAAAATGTGAATACATATCTCCACCTGCAGGAAGCGAGGTTAACCCTGAATCATAAAATTTTTCGAAGATCTTGCTCCCGTTAAGACCCTGGAATTCTTCAGTTTTAACGTCTAAGCTACTATTGCTGTTGTATTTTAATGGCGATATGTACTGAACAGCAATTAGGGTACAAATATTACTACACAGTGCCATCGCAGATAGCTCGAACTGAATCTTCTAGGCTCAAAAAAGCTGTTTTGCTAACATCATCCTTCCATCAATTAGGTCCAAATGCAACAGCGTTGTTCGTAGGTACCGTATAGAGGGTTGCTTTTGGAACCCCTTCTAACTTCAACAAATTGATGTTTTATTAAGGAGATATGAGCTTATTCTTTTGCTCCGGAAGCAGATAGGATAGTATTTCAGGCGGGCGCCCAAGTTTTGTAGGAGAGCTTCAGAAAGATTATTTCAGCGTTTTTCAAGCTTTTGGGAAAATGTGGGATCGCAAATTCTATCTGCACATTTGTTGCGGAAGTGGCTCAACTGAGCAAACAATCACGTTTGTGTGAATTGATACGGTCACTTGCGGCGTTATAAAAAATGATTCATAATCACTATTTAGTGACAAAGCAATTCAACTTCTAACGCATTCATCACCTAACCTATCACCAAACAGTTGTCATAAAGAGTTAGTGGGGCTTAACCGCTTGAGTTGCCAGCAAAACATCCGCACAGCCGTCACCAGGTCATATTCAATTGGCTAGTCTGTTCCTCTAGGGTCGGTGAGCTGAGCTTTCTACTTTCAATACGAAAAATTCGCGTGTCCAGTGAAGCGCGTGATTTTCGAGGCTGGCTGAGTTTGAATTCGAGATGAAGTTTTTCCCATGAAAAAAACTCGTCCTGTCATCCCAAGAGTTGCAGTAATAGCTTTAGGCGAGCATAAGCGCGAACCATTCGAGTTATAAGGGCAACGAGTTCGAATTACACTCTCATCCAGCCATACACAAAACCTCAGACAGCTGCATAGCGTACCATGCCTGTCAACTTTAAAGCATTAATAGGTTTCATGCGGTGTGACACATCCACTGAAGCACCTCTGAACTCAGCAGGTTTGGGCAACATCTACAAATTTGCAGCTGTCTGAACAGATCGCTAGTCTGGGTTACCGTAACGAAATGGTACGTACCTCTGAGCGGCGACATACTGTAACACCAATAAGCTGGCGATGAAGACTACAGCGTAGGTGTACCTGGGACTCATTTCGAATGGCGCGATGACGATGGGCGGCGCCGTTGTCACTTCATCGTCAGCCCCTCCATGACGCTCCGCCCCCCGAAGACCGTGGGAACCCCAGCCCACCCTCTATATAGTCGCTGTGATGTCAACGGCAAAGACCATGACGTAGTATGAAGCACAATGCAGCTTACTCCAATGGGCATAATGGTAAATACGAGTTTTCTTTTGCAGCTCTGAAAGTTCCGGAAAGGCCTTGATTCGCACCAAAAAGCACAAGCAAGTCAAAGGTGTTTCGCATCACGATGTGCAGGTTGGCAAACCATTTTCGGATTCAGTCAACAGCTCCTCTTGAGTAGGCGTTTCCCATACGAGTAAGTTTCCAAAGATAATGCCTTTAAAATCTATTACTGTCATGCAGTCGTGTGCAAGAACAGATCATTCGAGAGGAAAATGGCAAGGGTATAAGGAACAGTTTGCGTGTAGCAGCACAAACTACTACATCCCTATAAACGGGCCTATAAAGTGGACTAAGAATTTCTTGGAATATGCTTCGAAATGGACGGAAGTGGTGTAGTGACAAGTGGCGCGCTCAACACGCGAGCGGTCCGGGGATCAAATCCTGAGTCGTGAGTCGCCCGGGCCAACCAAGCCTTCCATCCCTCCGGGGTCGGTTAATTGGTACCAGACTTGTCTGGGAGGATAAAAAACACTGACTTCAACATCGGCTGGCCCCCGCAAGTCATTGTATAGGCCACTTCGCATTCAAACGCCACTACGAATGTACAAATGGAAGTAGAATGCGTGCCGCATCCCAAAAAGGGATTGATCAACGGCAAATGCTTTATCCTTTTATCCTTTATGCTTTGGAATTCGGTGGGAACAACGATCTTGATATAACCCTCTTGCGATATTTCTTAAGCTTTCCTATTTATTCCTAGAATTCAACTTTCCTATTCGACTGGCCGATGCTCGGGTAGGAGATGAGAGCTGCGCATAGCCGCTGGCGATTGCGAGTAATCGTATGTAACTACATTAATTTTGTTGAAATCTCCCCATTTTTCAATAAAATATCGCCCTATTTCTTAGAATGCCCAGCTCACCAATTGCCACCCCTTTTCTCAAACACAAGCACGACTTCCTTTGTTGAACTTCGCCAAATGCAGTTGATTCTGTCTGCAGGACCGGTGCAACCATGCCTGAAGATGGAACGATGGTGGGAAGGAAGACGTCACACTGACAGATTGAGTCATATCTGTTCAGATGTGGTCAACTACAGAGATTTTTGATTTGTACCACCTTTATCCACGTTGTTCCGGGGGTACAGCGGGTTGAAGGTTAGCTGGTCACCTCAACATGTTGTATAAGCTCAAAATGCATCGAAATAGCTCTGCGTTTCTGTGTGCTCGCATGCGTGGACACCTTGAAAATTTATGAAACCTGAAGAGTTAACATTTCATATTTGATCACAATCAAAAACCTTACAACTATGTGATTGTGTGCGAAGAATTTTTGTTTGCAAAATGTGATGCTATTTATAAATGAAATGTGAATCTCTCTGCACACAGGACACTTACCACGAGTTTCACATCTGATATTAAGCTCTTTTTTCTCAGCCAATTATCCCATTGAATGTTGCAGAGCTTAGAATTCATAGAACATGTCGTAAAAAAAAGTTTCTTGTCAGTGAAAACTAATTATGCTTAGGTCATTCAGCATGGCAGGCGCTTTGTCTAGAACTTGCGCTGACGGTCATCGGGATTACATCGAAAGCGATGTACGTGTCGAAAAGGCTTTCGAGTAAAAATCGAAAACCTACTATATTCCGAAGGTGCCATGTAGCACACGTTCTGTTTTCAACAGGAATTGTTGTAATCTTCTTCTATGGGTGTCTTCACTAAGATGTAGCGTTACTTTTGATGGCTCGCATTTCATAGGCTTTGCTTGACTTCTCTGCTCTCTCTATCATCTCTACAGCCCGGTTGGATTTTTCGATTCGTTAACTATCACATAATTCTGGCTCACGTTTAAGAAGTTTGATCTCCGTTAATTGGCTATCCATGCATTCGTTTGTGTTTGGCATATTAATATGGTAAATGAATCTTTTCCTTGGTTTCTAACTACGCATTTTGTTTTCTATGATAGTTATTGTGCCGGTGTAAACTTCTGCGGGAACTTTATTTATTTTTCTATTTATTTGTAATGCTGCATTAGGCAGTCGTAGGAAACAACCAAGAGCATCGTAAAATTGGTGCAGTACACTTTTACGAACTTAAGCTCAACAATTCCTTCTTCACGGGGGGTTTGAAAAGTGAAAAGGCAGGAAAGACAGAAGTCCTTCTTGATTTAAGATTAATGAATGAAGGTCCAGCTCGACACTTGAAACTACAGGGGTGGCCAAAAAAAAGAGACACTTCGCCCATGGCGCACATCATCGAACTTTTCGTCGCACAGGGTGCCGGTGTTAATGAAAGTTTCACGGTGAAATATTCCTAAGGTGCTTCCCCGTGAACAGAAGCAGGCTCTCCTTCACTGTTCCCGCCGTCTTCGGAATAACGTCATCTACCCCACCGTCAAGCTCAACGAGGCATACCGTAATCGCTCCGGCCTGAAGCTGCTTCATAAGTTCTCCAATAGGTTGACTGCTGAATAGCTTCCGAGAGACATTAGCTGTGACTGGCGAAACCTCTTTTGACCAGCGTTTCAGAAACGTCGTAACGGTCTATGGTACCTCGTCGACCCCGTTGAGCTCATACTGTGAATCAAGTTTCCGTGTGAAACTGATGTCGTCGGTGTAGAAGGCTATCATGCAAGGTTTTGATAGAGTAGGAAGTGCTCTCCAATACAGAAATGGGGCAGTCAATTTGATTTTAGCAAAGTGTGAATAATGCTGTCTGAAATGTTGAGTCAAGTGTCTCTTTTTTCTGGCCACCCCTGTATATCGCATGTTGTTTCGTGGCGCTGCATATGAAATTCTCCGATCCACCTCTAGTTTTTGATTTGACCCTTTCATAACATTGCATCAACCTTGGCATCCAAACTTGGCATCTTGTTAGCCAAAGATAGACTTTTAAAAGCCCTATGTGGTATGGAATAGCAAACCAACGCATGGCCAGCCTCAAAGTAATCCAGAATTAATGAAGTTTTGTTCATTTGTTCAAAAACTCAGATTATGACCACGCATGCTTTCTAGCAATATTTCTTCAACTAGCAACTTCTTGAGGCTAGACTGACTGCATTCCATTCGGTGTCTATAGGAGCATTTTTTATATCAAATCCGCATCTAACAATGTGATTATTTCAGCATATAAAAATTTAAGCTGAAGTAAAACTTCGTGTGATAGCATGGAGAAAGTGCTTTGAACAGATTTCTAGTGACACACTTCCACAGGGCCGTGAAATCGTAACGTGCGTCAGGGACAACACAATAATGAAGAGAAACTCAATCCTGTACTCCATCCGCATGGTTGAAGTTGTATAAGGTTAATGAGAAGCTGAAATTTGTTGGATGCGCTCAACTTCATTGCAAGAATTTTGTTTTCAAACGTGTACATCCTTCCAAGTATTGAGCTGCCCGAGCTGTCATTTCGTCAAAGTTTGTAATAACGTCAAAGGACGTCACGTCACAGAAATTGCAAAGAACCCCATTCGAGGCCTAAGTTATTAAAAACATAGCCCACCATGCGCGACATGTAGTGTAATTTGATCAACAACTTTGGCATGTTTGAGTACGATTGGTGGTGTCTATGGTAATTAACCGGAAGAGGGGCTGGTTTCAGAAACATGGTATTACTACTAACCCGAATATTGAGGGTACTGACCAAGTGGCGTTCGCGCACGGGTCAAAAAACCGAACCAAGCCAGCCCGCACTGCTCAACGATGCCGTCTCTGGCATTCCTTGGCTGGCTTCTGTTACCAGACTTACCGAGGAGGAGAGAAAACTGTCTTGCGCATTTGTTGGTTAACACAAATTGTTGCGTAGGCCAAATCGCATCTAAACGCTACGACTTGTCCAAGTGTAGCAGATCCGTGGCGCTTGGGGAGATGACGATATCCCAATAACGGCCCCCTATAAGATTAATGCTTTCCAAGGATTCAGGAAATTTTGTTTGCATTCATTTATTTGTTTATTTATTCCTTATGCTCAAAGGCGCACCGTAACCGGAAAGAGAGGTTGATAAACTATGCTGAAGTATAAACAAACTTAAGGAAAAAACAAAACAAAGCGAAAAATAAGTAGGAAAGGTGACTAAGCGAGCAAGAATTGGACCTTCAGCAGCGAAATACAACATTGAGGGAACTAGAATACACTAATATCTAAAGTTAATGAACTCATTAAAAATGAAAAATACAGTGATTAGAGAGATAAATCTCAAAAAGAAGGAGGAGCCTATGGTAAGTAGTTCGTAATGCTGGTAAGGGGAACGGTAGTCACAAAAAGGACATATCAAAGTCTATCGAACTAGCAACGGCTCAGGTTTGGAACTGTGGCCAAAGACTAGCAGCATAGCAATCAAATCCCTTGAATTCAACGTGTTTTTTTTATTCCATTTTGTTTCCCTTTATTAAGGTTCCACATCGGATGTCGTTGTTTTGTTGTTGCTTTGTTGCGAGATCTTCTCATTCACAATAACCACTCGCCTTTCAAACTTCCGCTCCATGGGCTTATAGCCAAACATTCATTCCTGCCTCAAGCGCAACGATTTCGGGGATGTTGCCTCGAATTTACATTATTCGTGAAGGGAAGGGTTCTTCCCGGCCGAACACATCGTCATTTTTAGCTTTCTTTGCTGGACCGGGATATGTAGAGAACATTTTAAGCACAAACGAGCGTGATTTTGCAAATATTCAGTGATACTTAAATTTGTAGTCCGTAGGGATGAAGCGTGAGGCAAGGCTGCAAAATGCACGGAATTTCCACTTTCATGAGCTGAAAGCTTCAACGTCTGTATATGGTCGTTTTTAGTCCATACGCATTCTTTAGCGGCCTGGAATATTCAGGCCGTGTGCTTTATTTCACACACAATGCGTAAATACACATTGGTGTCTACAGAATGGAGTAGACCTCGAAAAGGACGTGCTTGCCGTTTCTCCTTTACAGGCGTTTTTGAGCATGGATATCCATTTACGCGACAAACTAGAAAATTCTGTTCGCTGCTCATCTGAGCAAAATGGCAACCATGCATGGTAGGGGGGAGGGGACAC